ATGTTGAGGTTAATTGGTGATTCTAAATTGTCCGTAGGTGTGAATGTGAGTGTGCTTGGTTGTCTTTCTCTAAGTGTAGCCCTGTGATAGACTGGCGACCTGTCCAGGGTGTCCCCTGCCTTCGCCCTAAGTCAGCTGGGTAGGCTCCTCCCCCCCGCGACCCTAGTGAGGATTAAGCGGTGTATAAATGATGGATGGATAGACTGATCAGAAAAAACTTTTTGAGGCAAATAGTAATTTTATTCATCAAAATGTCACACTTCACACTTTAAAATGTTAAAAGAATAATGTCGTAATTTTAAAAATACAATTTTAAATGTATGACGTTAGAGATGGCAGAGTATGTAAATTTTAATGATAAAGTAAATGTTTAAATAATAAATAAAGAAAATAAAGTAGTCGTGTAAACACTCAGTTGTAACTGTCTTAATTGCAGTAGTCCATCCATCCATCATCTATACACCTCTTAATCCTCACTCGTGTCCTGGGGGGCTGGAGCTGACTCAGGGCTAAGGCAGGGAACCCCCTGGACAGGTCGCCAGTCTACCGCAGGGCTACACTTAGAGACAGACAACCAAGCACACTCACATTCACACCTACGGACAATTTAGAATCACCTCAACCTCAACATATTTTTGGACTGTGTGGGAGGAAGTCGGAGAACCTGGAGAGAACCCATGCTGCACCCGCAGAACATGCAAACTCCACACAGAAAAATCCCAGGTGTCCCAACTGGAATGCAAACTGACGACCTTCTAGCTGCGAGGCAACGGTGCTAACCACCGAGCCACTTTGCAGCCCCTTGTATATGGTATAATTTTGTTTTTAGAAATAGAAAAGGTTGTGCAGTGTTTTGTAGCATATTAAAATGCATCTTCGCAAAGCTGTGCTCTGGGTATTATTATTAATGTCAAATTGTGAAGAAAGGTATTTATAAGACTGAAGGAAGAGTCAGAAATCAGTGGAGGGCTAAAGAAATTATACCATGAAGATTGTTAAAGACAAGGGCTTCAGATATGTATAGTCATGATGGTGGAGATGAGGAAGGTGGTACGTTGATGCAGTGGCTAGCACTGTCGCTTAGCTTCCCAGCCTGGGATCTTTCTGTGTGAAGTTTGTATGTTCTCCCTGTGCCTATGTGTGTTCTCCCTGTTCTCCACAGTCCTAAGACATGCTGAGGTCAGTCGGTGATTCTAAATGTCAGTGAGTGTCAGTGTTATGATATTAATTAGAAGAAACTCAGATTTGTTAAGTAACAGTAACTATAACACATTGGAGAAATACTCTGTTTCAAATAAAAGTCCTGCTTTCACACACATTTTTACAGCACAAGTAAAAATGTATTAGCACCAACATACACTTACAGAACCCAAAAGAAAATCTTCAGAATAATGTATAGTATACAATCAGACTATAAATGTTGATGCAGTAATGAATTTGTCACTTTCATGTTGCAGCTGATGAATATGAAGCTGAAGCTTTCATTTGCTTCATTTATTGCTGAGTAGTTTGTAAATGTTCCACTGGGAATCAGTAAAGTTGTGTCTGAATGTAATAAAGCATCACTGCCGGACCTTTGTACAATAATCTGCTACATTTATTTGTTGATTGTATTTTGCATTATTATTCTGAATATGCAAAGTAACAAGTAAGCAAAGTTATCAAATGAATGTAGTGGAGTGAAAAAGTTTACCTTTGAATTGTAGTGGAGTCGAAGTGTAAAGTAGTAGAAAATGGAAACACTTACGTCAAGTCCAAGTACCCCAACATTGTTAATTTTTTTTATCTCAGTGATCGAAATGTTACATGGTAGTAGTTAGTCATACATGTTGGTGTACAGCAATGCGTGGCCACTCTTTTGCCAGTATATAAAAACAGAAGACCGTCTCCCACTGCACAGAGGAGATTTAACTAAAGTCATTTGTCTGCACTGAGATTATGCTTATTGTTCCTATATTGTTTACAGTCTAAAAGCAGAAACATTAAAGACAGTATATCCATTTATTTATGGTGAAGTGGAAGTCTGAGGACACTCAGAGGGACCTGGGTCATTCACCTGTGGGACATCAAGGAATGAACATGAACAACATAAAACATCAAAATGAAGATGAATCTAATGTCTCTTGTTCTCTTCCTCAGTCCGTATCGTCAGGACTCGGCAGTGGTGTGAGATGTCTCCATGTTTGGATGATGAAGGTTGCAATCTCCTGGTCAACCAGTCAGGCTGGACCTGCACACAACCAGGAGGCCGTGTCAAGACCACCACGGTGAGAACACAACCTCCACTGACACACACACACATTGTGTGTCGTAACCTGACGGCAGGATAGTTGTTGCTGCTGCATCTCACTTTTCATTTGAGAGATGATAAAATACAAATAGTGTGACACAAGCTGAACACGTTTCTGTATTCGCTGCTTTTCAGTTTGGTTTTGGGGGAAAATTTCGACAATCAAGTGGTGACATGCATGATGTTACCATGGTTACAAATAATCCCATGTAAAATGGACAGTGGAAACAAAACAAAGGAATTTTGTACCTTTATAGGACTTTCAATTGGTTTAAATAATCAGAACTAACCATCTAAACTTTGCAGTGCATTTTTGTTTGGAACCATCATCACTTCCACCGAAAATACATCAAGAAAGAATCTATTCTAATTTCACTATGAACAGTAGAAAGGGTACATTAATGCATTTACACATGTAGACAAAATTGTTTGTATACTTTTGTTGAAGAAAAACAAAATCACAATGATCATTGAAATAACTTGAAACTGACAAATGTAATAATAAATAAAAATGTATTGAAAATGAACTAATGAATATCAGACATTGTTCTGATTGTAGTTCAACAGAATCATTTTAAAAAATCTAATGAAACTGACCTGGACAAAAATGATAGTACCCTTAACTTAACCTAACCTTTTGAGGCAATCACTGCAATCAAACGATTTCTGTAACTGTCAGTGAGACTTGTGCACCTCTCAGAAAGTATTTTTGGTCCACTCCTCATGAGCAGACTGCTCCAGTTGTCTCAGTTTTGAAGGGTGCCTTCTCCAGACGGCATGTTTCAGCTCCTTCCACAGATGTTCAATAGGATTTAGATCAGGGCTCATGGAAGGCCACTTCAGAATAGTCCAGTGTTTTCCTCTTAGCCATTCTTGGGTGTTTTTATCTGTGTGTTTTGGGTCATTATCCTGTTGCAAGACCCATGACCTGTGACTGAGATCAAGCTTTCTGACACTGGGCAGCACATTTCTCTCTATAATACCCTGATAGTCTTGAGATTTCAGTGTACCCTGCACAGATCAAAGACACCCTGTGCCAGATGCAGCAAAGCAGCCCCAGAACATAACAGAGCCTCCTCCGTGTTTCACAGTAGGGACAGTGTTCTTTTCTTGATATGCTTCATTTTTGCTTCTGTGAACATAGAGCTGATGTGCCTTGCCAAAAAGTTCCAGTTTTGTCTCATCTATCCAAAGGACATTCTCCCAGAAGTTTTGTGGCTTATCAATATGCATTTTGGCAAATTCCAGTCTCTCTTTTTTATGATTTGCTTTCAACAGTGTGTCCTCCTCAGTCATCTTCCATTAAGTCCACTTTGGCTCAAACAGCGACGAATGGTGCGATCTGACACTGATGTGAATTTATTAGACCGCCTGTCTAATTTGTTAAGCCCTGTATATATAAACATATGTAGACCATACAGCTTCATGAAATGTTTCAATGCATACTCAGCTCTTCATGTTTTACCATTTTTAATAGGAATGATGAATTTCAAACTGAATTTACCTTTTAAATCTCCATTTTGAGTGGCTCACTGGGCTTCTCTGAGAAGTATACTATATATACATTAATACTAATGCATTAACTATCATAGAAACATAAAAAAGGATTTGGTAATTGCTAATGCTGTTAATATCACCCTTTAATAGGCTGACTGACTGATTACAAGTTTGAAAACACCTGTGATGCTAATTAGAGGACACACCTTAGTTTAACATGTCCTTATGGTCAAATTATGTTCTTCTTCTTCTTCCAATTTCATTACTTTATTTTTAAAAATGATTCTGTTGAACAGCAATCAAAAGAAATTTCTGATTTTCATTAGTTAATTTTCAGTACTTTTTTTTTGTTTTACTTTTGTCAGTTTCAAGTTATTTCATGATCACTGTGGATTTTTCGTTCTTTAACGAAAGGCCACCAACAATTTTGTCCACACATGTATATGGGCACCTAACTGTTGGTTTAAGGTGGACTTAAAATGACTTTCTTTGCAGATTTCTAGTGAAAGTAATTCAATTAATGTTATAATTTGATGTCAAAACTTGAATTAATTTTTCTCCTTTGATGACCATATAGTGTGATAAATTTTTGCAGCAAATCAAGGACTTGGGGAATTTTTTTCCTATTTATTTATTTTTATTCATGTTTGCTGTGAAGTAAAAGATTGAATTAAATTTAGAGTGCAATGTCATGTACAATTTAATATGTATATATATTTAATATATATTTATAGAATTTTTTAAAAGATATATTTTTGCTAATTTCCATTTAATCTTTCTTTTTAAATTTTTGTCTATTTGTAATGCCAATCCATTTTCTATACACCGCTTAATCCTCATGAGGGTTGCGGGGGGGCTGGAGTCTATCCCAGCTGACTCAGGGCGAAGGCAGGGGACACCCTGGACAGGTCGCCAGTCTATCACAGGGCCACACTTAGAGACAGACAACCAAGCACACTCACATTCACACCTACGGACAATTTAGAATCACCAGTTAACCTCAACATGTTTTTGGACTTGTGGGAGGAAGCTGGAGAACCCGGAGAGAACCCACGCTGCACGGGGAGAACATGCAAACTCCACGCAGAAAGATTCCGGTGCCCCCACCGGGACGCGAACCGGCAACCTTCTTGCTGCAAGGCAACAGTGCTACCAACTGCGCCACCCTGCAGCCTATTTTTGTAATGTTTTTCATTTATTTTATTGTACTTACATTGTTCAAATTTACGTATGTTGTTTCATGTACTTATTTATTGTGTTTATATATTTATCTGTGTAGGATAGAAAATAAGATATACTTATTTCCACACCAAAGTAAGTGATTGCATTAATTAAAATGATTAAAACCAACCTTTAAATTATTCGTCCAGCGATATAATCTCAGAGTCAGCATAATAATTCTAATAAATTGTTTACTCTTGGTGATCAGTCAAGCGTGTTTTAAAAAGTAAGGGAATTAACTTAGAGCTTAGGTAACTAAAGATCAGATACGTAAAGTGACTGGATGTAAGCTATAGAAAACACAGGAAACAACTGTATACACACACACAACATTTATTACTAACTAAAACAAGCAAACAAATAACAACAACAAAAATATAAAATACAAACAATGATGAAAATGCTGGTTGAGAATATGAGTGTGAAAAACCTAATGTGGAACAGAGTGATGGCTTGGAGACTTAAAAGTCTTTTCACCCAAAGCAGCAGATAAATGCGAAATTTGGAATATTGGTCGAAAGGCCAATTGTAATCATGAAACACCCGTTTAGAGATGAAGGTCAATACTTGCAGCGTCCTTGGATTTGGATGTGGATGCAGCGACATCTGATGCCTGATGAAGAGACGAGGCCTTCAGCTCCAGAGCGGGAAGATCAGGGTGTGGCAGTCGAAGCTGAGAACATGGAAGACCAAACTGAGCAGTTCAACTGCAGTTAGAGAATGCCACTGTTTTTCGGGTGAAGAGGCTTTTTAATAGTAAAATAACCGACCAATCACAGAGGGCTCCCCTCCCGGTGGGCTGTTGGATATGACACTAATATGTCGCGGGGGGGGTCATGACGTGGTCATGAGATGGTCAGGAGTTCTGTTCTGCTCTGAAAGTAACAATGTTACTATAGAACTATGTACTTGCAGTTCAACTTGTTGGAAATGAAAATGTGTCACATCCAGTTCTTCACGGGGTGTCTTACATGAGCTTGTTATCTATTATGGATACAGAAATAATACAGTGTTAGGATATAGGATTATATAACAAGCTGATAAACTAAAGAAGGGCTAATACAATTACGCTTATGTTTTGGAGTATTTATCAGGACGTTATACTTCCACATTTAATAACAGTTAAACTTAAGTAAGATAATAAGGCACATCCTCTGGTACTGTATCTTCACTGTTCATAAGTTCAGTTGTTAAGTTCAGTTGTTGCATGCCACAGGAAATGAGGGGTCAGTGGAGCAATATGTCAAGCACGGAGCAATACATTACACCCGGCCATCTGTTAAGGTCCGCGTGGCTGAATGTTTTTCTTGTCTTTCCCCAAAAGCTTCTTTGTGTTACGATCCTTTGCAGCTCTGATTGGTGTGATAAAGGAATTCCTAAGTGGGCTCTGCTTGTCCTGGCTTCGGCTTCCCCGAGCCTGCAAAGCTGATTTACATGACCCTGTGACCTGCAGGATAGTTCTGTCTTTTATGACATGTGACTGTGAGCTAGAAAGTTCGAATGAAGTCTCTTGAATCCTTTTGGCATCTGTGTCTGTCCATATCCTACAATCTGCTTTTGCATTTGTTTTTTAATTATTTGCTTTGTTTTAAAGTCAATTGTGAGGGAAGCACATACCTTTTACACAACCTAAAATTTGAAAAAGGTAATTGAAGTAAGACAACAATGTTTCTGCAGGTAGAGTCAGAAACAATAATAATGATGGCAAACCTCTGCTGAAAATGTTCTGGACAGGTACGTTGTTTTTTTCTTTTCTTTCCTGCCTTTGTGTTTCATTTTAATCACACGCCTAATTTTAACATCAGCTGAACAACACAGCTTCTAACAAAGGTGTTGCTGGTCCTAATTAAAATCACAGCCTGCATTTGTGTGTGTGTGTGTGTGTGTGTGTGTGTGTGTGTGTGTGTGTGTGTGTGTGTGTAATTGCTACACAACAGTCCTCGCTCCTGTCTATCACTCTTACAGCTGTTGATTACCAGAATTTGTTTCAAAATCCTCTTCAAGCAGCAGATATCATCAATCAAACCACATTCAAGATTTGCTCGTTTTTAAACCACAACCCTTCATCTTCTCCTTTCAAGTCTCTATTGTGCTATGTTAAGCTGATTATCTGCTGCCCAGTTTGTTGCCTATTAAAAAATTTGGACAGCGTCATTTCAGGTGGATTTCCAGCTTCTGTTTTTGTTTTTGTGTCAGTTGATGATTACCCAAATTCTTTTTCTTTTGTTTTCTTTTTAGTTTAGTGAAAATCTTTGTCTT